TACTGGACTTTTGTCCATCAGACTTTTATGAATGAGAAAAAAAAAAAAAAAAAAAAAAAAGATTTTTAATAAAGTTACAATAATTAACACGGTGTGGCATTGGTATAAGGCAGACGAATCAGCAAGCAGGACAGAATGCCAAGTCCAGAAATAGCCACACACTGGGGAAAAGAAGATGCTATGCTCCAAATGTCTATGTCTCCCCCAAATTCCTCTGTTGAGATCTTGACCCCCAAGATGAGGTACTGAGAGGTGATTAGATCATAAGGGTGGAGCCCTGACGAATGCGCTTAGGGATCTTATAAAAGAGGTTTGAGGGAGCTAGTTCGCCCCTTCCACTATTGAGGACACAGCAAGAAGGTGACATCTATGAACCAGAAAGTGGGTCCTCACCAGACACTGAATCTGCTGGTGTCTTGATCCTGACCTTCCAGCCTCCAGAACTGTGAGCAAAGCATTTCTGTCATCTAAGCCACCCAATTTATGGTATTTTGTTATGGTACTTCAAATTGACTAAGACAGATTTTTTTTTTTTTCAATATACTGTCCTGGGTCCATTGGATATCCATATGAAAAAAAGGACCCCTACCTCACACCACACCCCCCCACGCACACTCTCAATTCCAGATGAGCTGTAGATCTAAAGGAAAAGGGCAAAACCAAAAGGGTTTTAGAGAAAAATCTCTTTGTGACCTTTTTGCAGTAGGCAAAAATCTCTCAAGCAGGACACAAATAGCACTAACAATTTAAAAATGGATAAATGGGACTATTTTAAAACTAAGAACTTCCGGTCATTAAAAGACCCCCACTAAGAGAATAAAAAGGTACCCATAGGAGAGAAGATAGCTAATGAGGAATTTTATCTGCAATACCAAAAATTCTATAAATCAGTAAGAAAAACATAGACGATCCAGTAGAAAAATGGGCAAACAATTTAAAAAGGTCCTTCATGAGAGAAGATATCTAATGGCCTTTAAAAGTATGAAAAGGTAGCTGGGTTCAGTGTACACATCTGTAGTCCCAGCTACTCAGGAGGCTGAGGTAGGAGGATTACTTAAGCCCAAGAGTATGAGGCCGGCCTGGGCAACATAGCAAGATCCTATCTCTTAAAAAAAAAGTATGAAGAGGTGTTCAATCTCATTAGCATTAGGGAAATGTAAATAGAATATACAGAAAACTACTACTACTATGCATCCACCAGAATGGCTAAAATGAAATCAAGATAAAATGCCAAGGGCTGGTGAGGATGTGGAATAGCAATGTACTGTCATCATCTTGGCCAGGCTAAGTGGCTCATGCCTGTAATCCCAGCACTTTGGGAGACCTATATGGGTGGACTGCCTGAGGTAAGGAGCTTGAAACCTGGCTGGCCAATGTGGTGAAACCCCATCTCTATTAAAAATACAAAAATTAGCCAGGTGTGGTGGCACACACCTATAATCCCGGCTACTCGGAAGGCTGAGGCAGGAGAATCACTTGAACCCCAAAGGTAGACGTTGCAGTGAGCTGAGATTGCACGACTGCATTCCAGTCTGGGTGACAGAGTGAGATTCTATCTCAAAAAGAAAACAAAAACCAAAACCCAAAACCAAACCAAACCAAAACAAACAAAACAGCGTCCTAACCTTGCTAACAAGAGTGTAAACTGGTATGAGCACTTTGGATTACTCTGTGGTAGTGTACCTATCCAATCTGAACATGTGCACATCCCATGACTTTGTAATTCTGCTCCTAGGTATGTGCCCCACAGAACTGTGCACTAGAACGTTCACGGCACTGTTAGCAGCATCATAGCCAAAAAACTGGAAACTATGCAAATGTCCATCAAAATGGCTAAATTATATATTCGCACAATGGAATGCTATATAGCAATGAGCATGGTCTATATCTCTACCAAAAACATGGATGAATCTCATAACCATAACTGAGCAAAAAGCAGCCAGATATAAAGGATACTTAGTATATGATTGTATATATACATGTAGAAAGGATAAAAAGGGCAAAACTAGGCCAGGCGCTGTGGCTCACGCCTGAAATCCCAGTGACTTGGGAAGCTGAAGTGGAAGAATTGCTTGAAGGCAGGAGTTTGAGACCAGCCTAGGTAACATAGTAGATGGATCTCAGAGAAAAAAATTAGCCGTGTGTGAAAGTGCACACCTGTAGTCCCAGCTCCTTGGGAGGCTGGGACAGGAAGACCACATGAGCCCAGGAGTTTGAGACTGCACTGAGCAAGGATTGTGCCACCATACTCTAGCCTGAGTGACAGAGGGAGACCTTGTCTCAAAAAAAAAAAAAGTCAAAACTTGTCAAGCTAGTGGTTACCCTTGGGCGTGTAGTGACTTAAGAGAGCACTGGTGGCTTCCGGGGTGATGGTTATCCTGCTTATGTTCTTGTTCTTGGTGTGCTTAGAACATTTCAATAAAAAAGTGTGTTGGCTGGGCATGGCGGCTCATGCGTGTCATCCCAGCACTTTGGGAGGCTGATTCTGCTGGATCACCTGGGGTCAGGAGTTTGAGACCAGCCTGGCCAACATGGTGAAACCCCGTCTCTGCTAAAACTACAAAAATGAGCTGGGCGTGGTGGTGCGAACCTGTAATCCCAGCTTCTTGGGAGGCTGAGGTGGGAGGTTCGCTTGAACCTGGGAGGCAGAGGTTGCAGTAAGCTGAGATCACACCATTGCACTCCAGCCTGGGTGACAGAGAGTGAGACTCTTTCTCAAAGAAAACAAAAAAGTTCCTGAAAGACTCGTTGGTAATGGGCTATTTAAGACATATTTATGAGTCTGCACTGATAAAAACAAAAATTAAATAGAATAAATGGAGGAGAAGAGACAGATCTTTTTATAGTAGAATCTCAATTAATAAACGGAGGAATGATGGAAATAGAAAGTCACCTATTTTAACAAGCGAGAATCATCAGTGGATGCCAAAATTGGTGAGCAAAAGTACGAGGAAAAGCAGGACATTTGCATCCTCTCAAAAGTATCCCTTCATGGGATAGTTTATTAATTTATTAATTAAAAAGGAGGAAATCATGACACCAGTGGAGAAACGTGGCACATGCCACCTTCACCATGGATCAAGGTCAACAGCACTAGTCACATGGCACAGTGACATCGTGCAGCATTCAGGATGCACCAAGATGGGGCAGTCCACTTCTGTGATACTCTTGCCAAAACTCTGTGACTTGCACTTCTGAATGAAAAGACATCAGATCAGATTTAGAGGCAAATCTAAATATCTGATTGATATTCTTCAAATGTATCAAAGTCATGAAAAACAAAGAGGGACAGGTTTGAGAAACTGTCACGAGCAGAACACACTGAGGTGACACCAACATGAAACACTGTGTAGGGTCCTCGCCGGGCGTGGTGGCTCACGCCTGTAGTCCCAGCACTTTGGGAGGCCAAGGCAGGCGGATCACCTGAGGTCAGGAATTCCAGACCAGCTTGAGCTACATGGTGAAACTCCGTCTCTACTAAATACAAAAAAAATAGCTGGGCGTGGTGGCACATGCCTGTAATCTCAGCTACTTGGGAGGCTGAGGCAGGAGAATCGGTTTGAATCAGGGAGGCAGAGGTCGTGAGCTGAGACTGTACCACTGTGCTCCAGCCTGGGTGACAAGAGCGAAACTGTCAAAAAAACAAACAAACAAACAAAAAAAAAACAAACTCCCATCTGTAATCCCAGCACTTTGGGAGGCTGAGGAGGGTAGATCATAAAGTCAGGAGTTTGAGACCAGTCTGGCCAACATACTGAAACCTCGTCTCTACTAAGAATACAAAAAATTAGCTGGGTGTGATAGTGTGCGCCTGTAATCCCAGCTACTTGGGAGGCTGAGTCAGGAGAATTGCGTGAACCCAGGAGGTAGAGTTCGCAGTGAGCTGAGATGGTGCTATTGCATTCCAGTCCAGGCAACAGTACAAGACTCCGTCTCAAAAAAAAAGGAAACATTATGTAGGGTCCTAAATTGGGTCATGGACCCCTGGACCGGCAGAAGGACAGGAGACAGAAAACTGGCAAAAATAGAAAAACAAATGTAGATTACTTAGTATTATACTAGTGTTAATTTCTTGGTTTTTTTTTTTGAGACGGAGTTTCACTCATGTTACCCAGGCTGAAGTGCAATGGCGCGATCTCGGCTCACCGCAACCTCCGCCTCCTGGGTTCAGGCAATTCTCCTGCCTCAGCCTCCTGAGTAGCTGGGATTACAGGCACACACCACCATGCCCAGCTAATTTTTTGTATTTTTAGTAGAGACGGGGTTTCACCATGTTGACCAGGATGGTCTCGATCTCTTGACCTCGTGATCCACCCGCCTCAGCCTCCCAAAGTGCTGGGTTTCTTGGTTTTAAAAATGTTTCTGGTGGTTACGTAAAGTAAGATGTCAACATTGGGAAAGACTCTGGGAAGGGTATAAGAGAACTCTACATATTTTACAATTCTTCTACAAGTCTAAACTGATTTCAAGATAAAAAGTTAAAAACAAAAAACCCCTCTGTGGCTAGGTTAAATAGCAAAAAAGAAAAAGTAGTATTTTTAAATTTATTGATTGGAAGATAAAATTGAAGAAATGATTCAGACTGTATCTGGAGAAACAAGGAGATAGAAACTATGAGCTAAGAGATGCGTAAGAGAGAGAGGCGGCCATGCATCCAGCCAGAATCCCCATAGGGGAGGATAGAAAGAATGAAAGTGGGAATAAAGATTAATGGCTGGCCAGGCGTGGTGACTAACGCCTATAACTGAAGTACTTTGGGAGGCTGAGGCAGGCAGATCCCTTGAGCTCAGGAGTTCAAAACCAACATGGGAAATGAGGCAAAAATGCCGTCTCTCCTAAAAATACAAAAATTAGCTGGGCATGGTGGTGCATGTCTATAGTCCCAGATGTTTGGGAGGGTGAGGTGGAAGGATCGCTTGAGCCTGGGAGGAGGAGGTTGCAGTGAGCCAAGATTACGCCACTGTGCTCCAGCCTGGGAGACAGAGTGAGACCCTGTCTCACAAAACACAACAAACAAAACAAAACAAAACGAGATAATGACTGAAAATTCCCGGAACAAATGAAAGACATGAATACAAACCAAGAGATGTTAAATAAAAACAAATCCACGTTATAGACACATTGTGGCAAAACTGAAGAGAAGGCCTAGAAGTGCCCAGAGAGAGACTGAGATTCTTCAAAAAGCAGCATCGGTGTGACTGACAGCAGGCCTTCCAACCAGTGGTGGAAGCCAGAACACGGTGGGAAAAATGCCTTCGCAGTGTGGACAGAAGATAACCGTTACCCCAGGACAGTGTCCCTGGCAAAACTAACTTCCAAGAAAGAGGATGAAATAAAACATGTTTACAGATAAACAAAAACAGAGTTTACCACTACAGATGTATGCTAAAAGAGTTTCTAAAAGGCGTTCTTTACTTCAGAAAGAAAGAAAATAGACTTTGGAGGATTTGAGATGCAAGGAAAAAAAAACGACAAGAAATGTATATCAACATATGGGTAAATCTAAACAAGTAGTGTATGTATAAAACAAATTCAGAAGAAAAATGTCATTTGTGGGTACTATGAAAAAAGAGAAAATAATGTAGCTTATAAGTTTGAGAGGGAGTGGTTGACAAGTAAAAAAATACACAAGAAGCGCCTTAAACTTTTCAGGAGGTGGGGTTGTGACTTTCTAAGTATGCATGGTAAAATTTCAAAGTAACCTATAAAATAAAAGAGATAGGATATAACTTACAATGCAGTAGAGGGGAAATAAGAGAAAAGGAAAAACAAAGGCAAGAATTCAGGACAAATAGAAGAAAGCCAGAAGTCCAAATACGTCAGTAATCATAATAAATAGAAATGGGCTAAAAATGCCAATTAAAAGATAGAGGTGGTCAGACTGGATAAAAAAAGAAAATCTAGACATCATGCTGCTAACAAGAGACTCATTTAAAATATAAAGATAGGTGAATTTAAAAGCAGATATAGAAAATGATAATATAAATACTGAACAGAATGAAGGCCTCAGGGCCTTCAGGCCAGTCTCAACAGCGATAGTGGCCCCACATGTGACTTGCCTGATGCTGGCATAAGGCTGCAGCACCCCACCCTGATTGACCCTCCTAATGCCCCCTCACCTGGCTGGTGATGTCTGATGGCATAGGCGAGGGGGGCTTGGAGTAGGTGGCGTCCTGGGAGACGAAGCCAGAGTCATGGGAGGAGACGCTGGAGAGGCGAGTGGTGGTGGTGGCTGGCTGCGCCAGGCTGCGGTAGCGACAGGTGGAACTGGGTGAGTATGTTTGGGCACCCCCAGGCCATGGGGCTCCGCCACCCTTGGCACTGCTACTGCTGCTGGGGGCACTAGGGGAGTGAAGGAGGAGGGCACAGCAGCCAGACAGGGAGACAGAGGGGTGTGTGTTTGGGAGGGGGTGACAGACGAGGGTGGGGAAAGAGGTGAGGGGCAAAGGAAGGAAAAGACAATGTCAGACTAGGAGGTCCTGAGACCCAGGTACTACAGAGGAGCTGTGTTCTGGGATGGTGTGGAAGGGGAGGGCCAGAGCAGGGTAACCCCAGTCCTAGTGCTGAGGGGAGCCATGGTCAGGGAATGCCCAGGGTGAGGCAACCTCTTTGCCTCCTATTCTGCCATTAGGAACAGCTGTTTGGGCCAGGTGCGATGACTCAGTCCTGTAATCCCAGAACTTTGGGAGACCAAAGGTGGGTGGATCACTCCAAAGGACAGGAGTTCAAGACCAGCCTGGATAACATTGCAAAACCCCCATCTCTACTAAAAATACAAAAGTTAGCTGGGCATGTTGGCGGGTGCCTGTAAATCCAGCTACTTGGGAGGCTGAGGCACGAGAATTGCTTGAATCTGGGAGGTGGAGGGTGCAGTGATCCAAGATTGCGCCACTGCACTCCAGCCTGGGTGACAAGGCAAGGCTCTGTCCCCCTTCTGAAAAACAAAAACCACTTGTCCTGTGTGGGCATGGTGGCTCATGCCTGTAGCCCCAGCACTTTGGGAAGCTGAGGTGGGTGGATTGCTAGAGTCCAGGAATTTTAGACCAGCCTAGGCAACATGGTGAGATAGATCCTGTCTCTACAAAAAATATGAAAATTAGTCAGGTGTGGTGATGTACACCTGTAGTCCCAGCTACTTGGGAAGCTGAGGCAGGAGAATCGCTTGAACCCGAGAGGTTGAGGCCACAGCGAGCCATGATTATGTCGCTGCACTCCGGCCTGGGTGACAGAGCGAGACCCTGTCTCACATAACAAATCAAAAACCAAAAAACCCACCAAAAAACCTATTGGCTTTGCCAAATATCTTAATCTAGATTCTTATATCCTAAAGAATATATTTATCACTGACAACCCCCATTAAAAAAATAGGTTAACGATGGGGAAACTGAGTCACCAGGCATCAAACAATTAGAGCCAGACACAAGTCTGATCATTTCTAACCCACCTTCTCAAAAGTTGGTATTTGCCATCCAATCCTAACTGGATATAGATGCACCTAGCATATGGTGATGGTGTGTCTGGGGACAGAGCTCACCTTCCTGGTGGGTCCTGCACCCACCATCACCCTCACCCTCTCCATTCCCTGAAGGGTGTCTGGCCCTCTGTGGCTCACACCCTGAGCACAGCGATTCAACCCTTGGGCAGTGTTCCTGGCAATGAAATTTGCCTTCTCCCTGAGCATCACCCTGAAGCCTCCCAGCCTCTGCCCCGCTCATGCCTGTCCCCTGCAATCAGACACTTCACCGTGGATGGCCATCCACCCAGGGTCTGAAGAGCCTCTGAGGGCCCTGGGCCCTCCTCTCTCTGAGGTAGTAGCTGATCGCTGTGCCTGGCTTCTCCCAAGCCCTGGATGTCCAGCCAGAGTGATTCTGGGGAGAAGGGTGCCATGGCAAAAGGGGAGCCCCATCAGCACGTTGCTCTGTGCTCACTGCCCTCCCCACCCAAGGAAGGTCCCTTGATCCTAAGCTTGGTTGGTGACTGCGAGATCCTTGGCCTCTCCCCAGCTCTGCGAGGTCCCGGCGTCAGCCTGGGTCAAGGCTAGAACTGTGGCAGCTGCCCCCATGGGAACCAGCTCTTAAGAGCCAGCCAGGCTGAGTGTCCTATATCTTGTGGCTCCAGCGCACGTTCCCAGAAGCCTTCCCATCCCTCCCTGATCTTCTCTTCCTATGCCCCACACCATGCTGGGCCTGGCAGAGTCCAGTGGTTAAATGCTGAGACTCTACACGTCAGTTTCCCTTTCTGTGAGATGGAGATAACATACCTGATAGAACAGTGTTAGGATTCAATGAGAATGCATAAAGCACTTAGCACAGCACCTGGCACATAGTGGATGCTCCATAAATGAAGCTGCCGCTGCCCCTGCTCCCTATCCTGCCAACAAATGCCTGTGCCAGTAGCAGTCTTGGGATGACAGGGCACATTTTCCCTCTACATATGCAAATTCCTCAGATGATGTAAAAGTTGTGAATTTTGAGGCCCTGAAGTAATTTCTGATGCAGCTTTGCTGGAGCGTCCCCACTTCCTCTCGGGATACTGTCCCCCACACCCCCGGGAGTCCCACCCCCACTGACCTGCACATGCTGGACTTCCGGGAGCTGGAGCTGCTGGGTGAGGAGGGTGGGGTCTGGTAGGACCAGCTGTAGTCTGAGCCCTTTAGGTCTTTGATTACCTGCACAGGGACATGGATGGGGGGGGTCACTGGAGGCAGCCCCTGAGAGCTGGTAGGGCTAGAAGCCCCCTGACTCTCTTCCCAGTTGTGGACCATACCCTGGAAAACCCCAGGAGTCTGAAGCCCCCTCCCCCAGCCTTCCCCTAATTTGGGGAACAGGGAGACATGGGGGTACACTCATGCTCCTCCGAGCTCCTTCAGCTCACACACACTGAGTAGAGATTCTGAGCTGACCCTGGCCCCATGGGGGTGCAAGTTGCTCCTGTGCCTCCCTGAGTCTGTTTTCTCCTGTGCCTCCCTGAGTCTGTTTTCTCCTGTGCCTCCCTGAGTCTGTTTTCTCCTGTGCCTCCCTGAGTTTGTTTTCTCCTGTGAATCGGGGCCACCTGTTCCTGTCTGAGTGGAAGATTCCCTGACATAATTTGGCAGATGCTGGGCATGCAACAAGTGCCTCTGGAGTGTGCTGCCCTGCAGGCTGTGGGTGGGACCGGTCTGCGTGGAGTGGGAGCAGGGCTGGCGAGGGGGAGAAGATGGCCAGGTGTGCCTGGGTCTAGGGGAGGGGAAAGGGTTTCTGGGCACGAAGGGTGGAGGGGCGTCTCTAGGTTTGGCAGGTGGTCTGCACAGGTGGAGCAGGGCAGGCAGACTCGGCTTGGCTGCATGGACCCAGGACTTTGCACATCTGCTCTGAGTCTGAGAACGCCACTGGCCGGGGCATACGCTCCCCCACCCGGGCAGGTGCTCTGGGATGGCCTGCAGTGGGTGTTAGAAGGGGTCTGGTCTTGTGCCCTCAGCTGCCTCCCCTGAATGTCATCCCCCTTTCCCCTCTACTTTTCCTAACCTAAGGCAGCCCATCTCCTCCCTGCCCCTGCCCCCGGCCCGAGGGCTCCCACACCTGCTCGCTGGCGGGAGGCAGCTTGTGGGGTTCCGCGGTCAGCACCACCAAGTCGTCGATGATGCCCTGCAGGTGGGTGATCTCTCCCAGCATGGTCAACTCACCATTCTGAGGAAGCAGCGAGTCAGTCCCGCCGGCCCTGCCGCCCGCCCACCTGCCCGCCCTGGAGAAGCAGGTCTTGTCAGGCCTCTCCTCTCTCACCCTTTTTTGCTAACGAATGCTGCTTGGGGCTGGTGCAGGCGGGGCCCACACAGCCCGGAAGGCTGGCGTGGTCTTTCCAGACCAAATCAGTACACGGGGAGCTACGAGACCTGCCTTTGGGCCAGGAGCATGTGGCCTTGATGCTCCTAGCCAGGGAGTGCTGAGAAGTGACCTTTCTTGTAGGTCAGAAGGTCAACCCTGGGCCCAGCCCACCCCTCTGGGGTCTGCGAGTCCCCAGGAGCCCCACCACCACAGGCTGCAGGAAAGTGATGAAGGTGCAGAAGCGGCCCCGCTCCTCGATCAGCGCCCGGCGCACGGCCTGTTTCTCCGTCTCCTCCAGCAGCAGGTACATGTCATTGACGTCCTGCAGGGCACTGTCCAGCTGGGGCTGCAGGTCTCCTTTCCCTGGAGGGGTGGGGAGGAGAGGGCTTGCTGGGGATGCCGGCCTGGCTTGCCACACCCACAAATGGCTCAGACCCTGATGGCAGCATCCCCCGGCCGTGGGGCTGGGTGCTGCCCTGGGGCCAGGGACTGGGGAGGGCAGTGGGGACTGTGCAGCTTGTGGTAGGGCTAGTCCCATCAAAGCAGGCAGAGAGGACAGACACACGCACAGGAAAGATGCCAAAGCTGCAATGCCACTCCGGATCGGGGCACCTCCAGGGAGGCTCTTGGAGCCCAGGAGCTCTGCCCACATGGAGCCTCGCTGGCCTCCACTCAGGGCCCGGGATGATGCCCCACACCTCATAAGGTTCAGGGAGTTGGGACAGAAGCGGGACAAAGAAGAGTGTGGGGCTCAGCTGTAGGCCAGACCATGGGGACAGGAGTCAGGAGAGCTAGGGCTGGGGCTTAAGGGCAGGGAAGGGGGTCTGTCTCAGTGTGGGTCCCCACTCAGCTCAGGGAGCAGTGCACACAGACAGCAACAGCGACACAAGAAGCAGCGAGAAAGACAGAGAGAGGTGAGAGGATGATGCAGAGGAGACGATGAGATGGCAGGTGTGGAGGTGACAGGTGAGGACACAGGCCAGCCTGGTGAGGGTGGGGCAGCCAGGGCCTGTGGCCCCACCCCACCCTGGCCAACGCCTCCTGGCCTGGCAGACTGACCCAGCAGTGGCCCCAGACTCATCCCTGGCCAGGGGCCCTGGGGGCCCCAGGGGGACTGTGCCCCAGGCCCCTCCCTCGTGGACCGACCGCCTTCCTGGCTTCTCGTTGGCCCGGAGAGGTTCCTTCCAATGGCCCTGAGCTGAGTGAGACAGACAAATGCGACAAGGACGGGAGGAGCAGCTGGAGGGACCGACATTTGACTTACCAAGTAGCTCTACAGGAAGGATGTGGGAGGAGAGGAGGAGAGACAGAGAAAGAAAGAATGTGTGAAAGACGCCGGATGGACAGAGCCACTCCTGGGGCGGGGCTGCCTGGGCCTCCTGCTGCCTCCCAGAGGGAGGTTCTGGACCAGGTCTGGGGGGCAGGGCGGCTCCCTCTGTCCCACCCAACAGGTTGGAGGGTCCTGGGTCGGGGACAGCGCCCCTCTGGCCAGGATGGGGCGCCCCACGGGGCGGCGGGGCTGTGGCTTGGGGGGCCGCGCCGGGCACTACCTTTGCGCGCCTTCTTTTGCAGCTTGAGTGTGTCGGATGACTTCTTCTTGATCTCATGCCGGGCTCGTTTGTACTCTGGGCAGAGGGGGAGAGGGGAGCGCTCTAATGGGGTCCCTGCGGAGTGGGGGGCAGGAAGCCCAGCCCCTCGCCGCCCCCACCTTTCGCGTGGTCCTTGTCCAGCTGGTTGGCCGCCTTCTTCCAGTCCTCGATGCGCTCCTGCAGCGGGTTGATGAGGCTTTCCAGCAGCGCGCTGCGGAGGGCGGGCGGGGCCGCTGGTCAGGGCCGTGCTCCCCCGCGCCGCCCCCCCCGCCGCGCTGCCCGCCCGCGGCGCGCACTCACTTGGTGAACTGCCGCAGCTTGGTCTCGATGCTGCGGTGGCGCATGCACATGCGCGTGAGCGCCGAGCCGATGTCCCGCGTGGCCCCTGGCGAGGCAAGCGCGGCGTGGGAAGGGGCCAGCCGGGGCCTGCGCAGTCCCGGCCTCGGGCCAGGAGGGGGCGCCCTGCCCCCACCAAGCCGCAGTCCCGCCGGCCCGGGGGATTCCGGGCCTCTTCCGTCTCCACTAGCTCTTCCTCCGCCATCCCCAGCTGGGAGAGGTGGGCGCCAAAGACCGTTCCAGGAGCGGGCCAAACGACCCTCCAGGTGTGCCCAGATGCAGGTGTGGGAGTGCAAGCATGCCCAGGGCCCAAAGGAGCAGGAGCCCCAGGTCTCTGCCACTCCGACCAGTGGGCAGAGGAGGCGCCAAGCCTAGCGGCGTGCTCACCTGCCCCCGCGTGCTTTCAGAAGGGCACGCGGGCACGGGTGGGAAGAAGCCCTAAGGAGAATCTCTGTGAGGAAGGGGGACCAGTGTGGCTGGGGGGTGGTCACTTGAGCAGCCCACAGCAAGAAGGGAATCCCCGGGGAACACTCCTGTCGCCACTCACCCACTCCTGCTTGCATGCCTCTTGTGATGAGGGGCTCATTCTTTCCACGACCAGCCCATTCCATTAAGGAACGGAACTCAAGGTCCTGGGCTTGGCATCCTCTCCCTGGCCCATCCTCTACTCTGCCTTTCCAGCCTCCAGGCCCACCCTGGGGCACCCCCAACCTCCAGCCATGCCCCTCCCCACCTCGGGTGTTGGTGGCCATGTCAGCCACTTTCTGGAAGGCATCCAGGAAGGCCACAGCAGCCAGCACGGTGGTTCTGGGGAGAGGGACAATGGCACAGATGGTCAGGGGCTGGGGGTGCTCTCTCTGCCTGCCCCTCCCCTGTGGGGGTGCCCTGGGCCACCTCACCTCAGCTGGGAATGCAGCTTCGTGGCCTTGGAGTTGAAGTCCTCCCAGATAGGGTAGGAGCTCTGCCGGCAAGATGGGAGAGGAAGTCAGGTTCTTGCAGCCCTGCCCCATGGAGAGGGAGGCTCTGGGCCCTCTGGGAGGGCGGAGAGCCAATGACAGAGCCACCAGGCATGAGCAAGGCCTGTCCCTGGGAATGGGCACCTTTGCCATGCCCTGCCTCCCTGACATCAGGACGGCTACCCTATGGGCTACAGGGTGTCCATATCCTCCCTCAGGGGAAACAGAACAGGAAGTAAGTTTCTGTCGGGCAGGTCCTGTCCCCTCGGCATTTCCCAGGGCCTGGCAGGGGATCTGGGCTGAGCCCAGTGAGGGGCATCGTGTTTCTGAGACACATGCCTGGGACAGTGGCACTGACTGGCCCACCAGAGCAGAGGTACAGTGTGGAGGGCAGGGCTGAAGGCACACCAGGTGTAGACTAGGGCCTCCGAGGCCCCCACCCTGTGTCCTGGAAGCTGCCATCCCAGGCTAGCAGCCGTGGCTCCCAGGGCCGAGGAGGCTGTGGCTGCTGCAGGGCCCGGCCAGCCTGCCGGGGACAACCAGGCCCTGGGCTGAATGGGGCCTTGTGCGGCCAATAGAGCCACCTTTCTCCACCCCCTTCTCCCCTCCCCTCCTGGGGAAACAGTGTGGCCTTTATCCCAGGCTGGCCCAAGGCTCCAAGTTGGGAGGGGGTTTCCCAGTGGGGAGATCGGACTCCTGGCGACTGAGCTGTCCAGCCTGATTATGGGGCTTTTCTGGCTAACGTGTGCCCTGGGGTCCTGGAGAAACCTAAGCCCTGGCCCAGGCGCCCTGTGGTGGTCTTGCTCCTTGAAGGGGAGCCCTGGGCCGGCCAAACCCCAGCCCACAGGGGCTGCTGACCCTCCCTTTTATGTAGGATGGGGCACTGGAGGCTGGGACTCTTCCCAAGAAAGGGGAAAGCGGAGTCCCTGGCTCTCCAGGGCCTCAGAGGGAGGCTCTGCCCAGCTGCAACCCAGGAGTGGGCTTGGGCTGGCCCTGCCAGGCTAGGAGAGTTTGCAGGGTGAGAAGGAGACAGGGCGGCTTTAGGGGACCTCAGAATCTCCCTCCCCTCCCCGCCCACCCAAACTGGTGTCCAGAGAAAGCAAATATTTGCAAAGTCCACAGAGCTTGAAGCAAGAGTGGGGAAGCTGTGGGTGGGCTGCCCCCAGGCGGGCACAGCTCAGGGCAAAGTGGCCTGGGAAGCTGTTTTTAGCCATCCCAAGGAGTGGACTCATGCCACCGTGCCTGGGTACCACTGGGGGTCTTCGAAAAGGGGGCACTTTCCCACCGCCTAGACCCCCACCCCACCTAGCCTTGAAGCCTTACTAAGACCTCCCTCCAGGGAGTAGAGAAGTTGCTAAGGGCACTGGGGGCTCCAGAGCCAGCTGTCCTGGCACCAGAAACCTTCTTAGCTCCTGAGCAGCCCTGGGGCAGACTCAGAGATTAAAGCCTCTCCCCTGGGGAGGGGACAAGATGGGGCGCAGGGGAGGCCAGCCATTTTCCCTTCAGCAAATGGACCCAGGTGCCTCAGTCTCTAAGGACCTGGACCCGCCCCCCTCCCCACGGTAACCACATGAATGACCCCAGAGACAAGGAGGTTATGTCTTATTTGTTTATATCTGCCTCTTCATGATAGGTCAGTTTCTCTGATTAAAAGTAAGAGACATGGCTCCAGCAGCTGGTGCTCCAGGACCAGCATCCTCAGCCTTCACCTGAGACAGGCCCAGGCAAACAGCCTTCCCAGCAGCCCCATGAGATGACTACCACGACTGCCCCCATTTCACGGACAAGGAAACGGAGGCCTGTAGAGGTTAGCTCATTTGCCCACAGCCACAGGGTGGCCGGGTCAGGGCCTCATCCTATGTCTGCATGGTCACTGGAAGCCAGGTAGAGGGACTCCCTTACAATGCAGGGAGACAAGTACTGAGCGTCAAGGTTGGGGAGGCAGCAGGGACTGCCGGGATGCGAGAGAGACCCAGTTCCGCCCCAAGCACAGCGGCTGCTCTGGAGTGGGGAGGTGAGGGACTTGTCACTAGAGGCTCCCAAGTGGATGGGGATGAGGAGGCTCTGTCTGTCCCGGCATTGGCTGTGGTTCAGATGTGGAGTATGGGTGAGCAATCCAGCCTCCAGTTCCAGGGAGTGGGCTTTCCAGGGTCCCCTGTGCAAGGGCCTGTCTGAGCCTCATTTTCTTCACTTATAAAATCAGGAGAGGAAGGGCACCTGCCCCACCAGGCCAGTGTGGAGACTGAAGCAGACTGCCCAGCCAGCATCATGCGGTGCCCAGCACACAGTAAGTGCTCAGTTAACACTGGCTAACAGTAAACAAGCCCTGCCCTCTGCCAGGGGCCCCTAGCAGAGGCCTGGCCAGGCCTATGTGTTCAGGTGACACATGTCACTCTTGAGGGCGTGGGTGAAGAATATGACCCGATTTTCTGGATGGGCCAGCAGTAAGTGGAGGCCCTATTCACCTTGCTGAAGGCACCGTGCCCAGGCTGGGGACCTTGGGCAAGTTGCTGCTCCTCTCTGGGCTTCAGTGGGCAGCCTGACACCAGCAGCCATCTGACCTCGGCCCCTGCTCAGCCCAAGGTCAGGGCCTCCCAGAGGCCCAGGGGAGAGGGCCTTTGTGGGGCCTGTGGAGTCGCTCACGGTGCAAGCTCAGTCTCCTCAATCCGGCTGCTGCTGGCTGCCTTCCTCTGCGGAAGCCCTGCTGCTCAGGCCACCGAGAGAAAAACCAGAAGCTGCCCTCCAATCCAGGCGGTCAGCCTCCAGGTGACCCGTCCCCTCCTTTGCCCCTGGTCATGGCCCCTGAGCACACGCCTGTGTCATAGTTAGGGGCACACCTGTCTTGGCATCATCCCAGGTGAAGCCTTTCCTGTTTTGCCTCCATATGTCAGCAAATCCTGCCCAATGTCTGGCTTGAACCTCTTGCTCTGATCTGGGCCCACTTCTGTCTCATCCCAAAGTTCCTTGCAAATCGGCTAGAGAGGGAGAGAGATGGTCTGCTTTTGCGAGCAAAATCTGCTGCTGTCTGCAGTGGTTGCTCTGAGGTTGCCAATGGTGGTGGGTGGTGAGGTGCGGGAAGGCCCATCCTTAGCCAGCCCTGGGATCAGCCAGGGGAGGGTGGTCTGTGTGGCCCAGTCCCTGACAGGATCCTGGAGCCAGGGCTGTGATGTCCACAGGGCAGGTGGGGACTGCTGTGGACTGAGGGGCCCGGATGTATAGTTGCAAGAGATGGGGGCCCCCGGGGGAGTACACCATAAGGGGCAGGGGGTGGGGGTCATCTACAAGCTGCTAACTGGGTAGTCTCAGGCCAGGCTGGCTTCAGGCCTCTTCCGGGGGCAGGGATCTGGCAGCTGTCCCTGGGGCTGTTGTCCTGGCAGCACCGGGAGCCTCGACCTTCAACCTGCCAGCAAACCCCACCCCTCACGGGGCCTGTCCCAGCAGCGCTGTGCTGGGTGGCGTCACCCCCATCCCTGGCCTGGTGGGATTCTGTGTTGTGCACTTGAGAGTGTGCAGTGGTGGGCTGTGGAGGTGGGGGCCCTTGGGAGTTTCTGTGGGGTGCCTGCTCCTTCTTCCTAGGGTAAGGAAAGGGGGCAGGGCAGGAGGGCATGAATGCTGATTCCTGGTCCCCATCCTATCACTGGAGCTGGGCCCTCTCTGCCTAGTCAGCCTAGGCCAGCCTTGCCAAACCTTGTCCTCGTTTGGGGAGAGGAACCCACTAACTCTCAGGAGGAAAAATGGGGGCCGAGGTCAGGGGCAGGGTCCAACAGTCTCCTTAATGACCTTGAGCCATTCCCAGGTCTCAGTTTCCCCACCTGGTGGGGTGAGGAATGAATGGGTAGCCGGCTCCAGCCTGACCTTAGGCAATCCTGAGGGGGGACGGGGGGGGGGGGGGGGGGGGGGGGCGGGGGCGGGGGGGGGGGGGGGGGGGGGGGGGGGGCTTGGAGCTGAGAGCCCAGGGTGGTAATGGGGTAGGAAAAGTGCTCCCTTGGGGTTGCTCCACCAATCCCAACCTTCATCCCGACTCCTCCCAAGGTGACGATCAAGGTCTATCCTTGGGATGCAGGGACATTCAGCCTGGAGACCTTGGAGTCCTGAAGCTGCCGGGGGGCCGCTGGGGGTGGGGCGGGGCTGGGGGCGGCAGTTTCAGGGTCAGGCGCAGAGGCCTAGGTCGGCGGGGAAGGAGTTAACGGTTCTCTGCTTTATTATTTTTTCCTGCTTCGGCGGTGACAGCATTGTCTGGGCTCCGGGCCGCGGGGGAACATGGTGGTGGAAGGGGGCGGAGGCCCGGGAGACCCCGGACCGTTAAAGGGCCCTAGAGACGGTCCGGGAGACAAACTCCATTCATGGTTTGGGTGTCTGGGATGCAGGGAGCCTGCGTGTGCACAGGCTTGGGTCAACACCCACGGGGCCACGGCGGACACCGCATGGACACCCCGACACACAGGCACTCACACCCCCAGACGGGCATCCGGAGACACGGGCGCCCAACAGACGCAGGCAGGACGCGCTCAGACAAGGACACACACACTGCGGTGCGTGGCCACACCGGGCTCGGAAGCTCACTGCCACGCGTCCCCGGGGGGACCTGCACCCACCGCCGCGAGTCTGGTTACCTTCATGTCGTTGACGATGGCCTGGAAGAGCCCACCCAGGGCACCGCATTCCTTCTCCGCCGTCTCCATGCTCGGGCCTGGCCGGGCCGCAGCGGCGGGGCGCACTGAGCGCGGGGAGCTGCGCAGGGGAGGGGGCCAGGCCGCGCCGGCGCTCGTTCCGAGGCCGGGCCTCCCGCCTCGGTGCAGCGCTCAGCGGCCGGCTGCGCCGCGCTCCGGGGTCGCAGGCCGCCCGCGGATGGCGCGGGCCATGTCGCGGCGGGGCTGGCGGGCGGCGCGGGGGGCGCGGCGCGGGCAGCTCGCGGTGCAGCCTCAGCGCGGGGACTGACGGTGGCGGTAATCCGAGCTGCTGAGGCTCGGGCGTCACGTGGGCGCGGCGGAGGGGGGACCGCGGGGAGGGCGGGAGGGAGGGAGAGGGAGGGCCGCGCGGGAGGGAGCTGTGGGAACGGCCGTGCGGGCGCAGGCCCATTCACGGCCAGAAACCAGGGCTTTGAAATCCGAGCCAGGGTGCTGCCAGACTGGTCTGGCGAGCGGGGTCGGCGGGCGCGGGCGCCACCGCGGGTCGCGGGGTGGCGCTAGAGCTGGGTCTGCCCTGTCCACGCGGGAGTGGGACGGCTGGCTGGGTTTCGGGCTCCACAACACTTTCCGGCCTTTGGTCTGGGGTGCGGGGGGCTTTGGGTACCAAAGCCGAGCAGTGCGTACAGCGGTGGGATGGGGGTGTATCACCTGGATGGGATATACAGCACAGAGCAGGGCGCAGGGGGTCGTGGGGCCGCCCGTCTTGGGACGTTTTATCCCAGGCCCAGACCTTTCTCCTTACTGACCCTTCTAAGTTTTTTGACTCCTTTTGCAAGTGCAAGTGGTGATGATGCCACCCGGATGGGGTGCCCAAGGCAGGGCTTTTGAGGGGGCAGGGGCCTTGGACAACCTCCTTCCTAGCGGGTGGGGGCTCATGTCCGACCAGCAGAGCAGAGCTGGACCGTCCCTGGTCTCTGCTACCTTGGTCCATGGTGGGTTCGATGCGCACACGTGCATGGGGTGACAATGGCAAGTGCCATGTCAAAACCCACCCTAGGGGGCAGCATGAGGCGGTGGGGGGGGGCAGAGGTGGCACTCTGGGGGAAAAGCAGGCACAAGCTCCTTCTCCCTGACTCCAGAGGCCAGAGGGAGCCAATTACAAGCTCATTAGGAGACCAAGCCCAGGGTTCCCAAAGGCTGGGACAGGTGGTACCCCTGTGGGTGAGGAGGGGCTCTTTCAGCCAAACCGGTGACTGGGGCACCCGTCCCTCCCTGGACTGCTCTGGGCTTTTCCTCCCCTTGCTCAGCGATCTGCAAAGTGTTCTGCAGCGTGCATTGGCCTTCCATGCAGGAACTCCTGGGGCTCAGCTCCCATCTGCCCAGTAGGGAACTCCCATTGCCCCAGGGAGTCAGGATGAAGGCAGGATGAGAAAGGTGGATTAGAGGCTGGGGGAAGGCAGGGTTTCAGGATTCCAGGGTAGGTTGTGCGTGGCGCTGTCTAGGAAGGTGCAGGTTCCAGAAGTGGAGACCTAGGCTCTAGGCCCATGGCCCCACTCAGGTTGAGTAGGGGAACAGGCCCTGGGGCAACCAGTTATCCTTGGGGCCATCCTGAGACCCCATCTCCAGGACAGGGTGAGGCTCCGGGTCAGCTGCAGGTGTCAGCTGGGAAGGAGCAGGCAACCTTGGGTTGAGGGTTTTCTGTTCTTTATTGGGGTGGGTATGGGGTGCATCATTCAGATCTTTGTGCTGGTGCCTATGTGCATACAAGCACACACACAGGCATGTGTTCATGTATGTATACATATACACACAAGGCCAGAGCTCTGGTGTGCGGGGGAGGCCAAGCTCTTTTTCCAAGAGGGTATTAGAAAGAGGTTGATTCCACAGGATGGGTGGTGTCTGAGGTTGTAGCCCCCTGCAGGGTGGGCAGCCAGCTCCATGTGAATGCCAGGATGCAGCCGACAGCACTGGAGGCCTGTGAGCTGGGCTCTGAGACGAGCTTGGGCAGACAGAGCAGCCTCTGGTCCCCACACTGCCCTGGGCTGGCAGACCCAGCCTTGGTCCTGAGAGTCAGGTCTTTGAGTTCCTTGGGAGGGCGTGACAACCCTGAGTGCTTCATGGGACCACTCGGCAGGCCCTCCTCCATGTCGGGCCGGTCAGAGGACAACCCTCCGGTCCAGGTGATCCCCACGCCCGCTCCGCTGGTGCCGCACTTCCAGGTGCTTGTTCTGGACCTTCTCAAAGTGCTGCAGCAGCTCTGCGTAGTCGATGTTGGGGGAGTCGGCTTTCTGGGACTTGGGGGCTGCCTTTAGACTGTCTCTGGGAAGAGAGAGCAGAAATGCTCAGAGTCAGGGGATTGGCTCACACGGGGGTGGCTGCTAGAGGTCAGTGTGGTCAGAGGCAGAGCTGCAGGCTGGTGGGCTCGGCTTCTGGGCATCTGTCTCAGACCTGGCAACTCTTCCTCCACAGCCATCCCCAGAGCTGGGAAGCCCCTGAGCATCCCCCTCTTCCGCAGTTGGTGGGTACAGCCCACATTGTTGCTTGGCTGTTGCCCTTGGCCTGTGGGCTGTGATGGCGCCCAGAGCAGGCATCGCATTGGGAAGCATTTCCTGTTTACGAGTGGCTCCCTTTGGGGTGAAAGCCAGGGCTAGCAGCCAGCCAGGAAGCCAGCTGGGGCCTGGAACGGTCGGGGGAGAAGGGGGAGGCGGCAGCCTGGCCCGACTGGGGAAAATGGGGATTGCTGAAGAGCCTCTGCTGGGCCCTCCACTTGGCAGGATATTTGTTTTTGAGGGTTGGGGCCCTGTGCCTGCAGTCACTCACTGTCCCTGGGGGGAGGGATGCTGGTCTCACCACTGGACATGCCTAGCGCTCCTCCATTCCTGTTGCTGCGACCCTCTCCAGTTGCTCTGTACAGCAACACAGGTTGTGCACTGCATAACTAGTGTGCACGGTGCTCCCTATAATCCTGCAGTGCGGTAGCCTTGCTGTCCCCGACCAGCCCAGTGCTTAGCTTGCCCCTGGGGACAAGATCCCTGCAGGGTCCTGTCCCATTCCTACTCACCCTCCAGCAACGTCTTAGGAAATGGTCTACTCCCTCTCTTTGGCCTCACAGTTTTGGAGGAGCAGATCTGTGTGGGGTAGGTAGTATCTACTTCCAGGCCGAGGCTGGTGGCCTTGGCAAGGGGTTTCAGGAAGACTGGGCTGCTTAGTTGAGAATCTTAGGGGCTTCATGTTCATGAAGATGCCAATATGGGGGGTGGTACAGGCAATGGCAGAGCACAGGAGCTAGACAGACCTGGACTCAACCCTAACTCCACCGCTTCCTAGCAGTGTCACATGAGCATGTGACTGTTTCCTCATCTGCAAAGCACGGGCTACCTCAGGTGCATCCCTAGGGTGGCTGCCAACATGCCTTGATATGACGTGTAAGAGCTTTGCCTGGTGTCCAGCCCCAGCCTAAGTGCCTGGCGGGGGCCACTGTGGCTATAGGTCTGCACCCCCGACATGAAGCCAGCTGGGGCCTAGTAGCTTGAGGGTGAAAATAAAGGAGGTAATTTTGGGGAGACACAATGGAGCTCCCCTAAAACATACCCTTGGCAATGAGTTCAATCCAGCAGGAAGAACCGACGGCCAGAGCCTGACAGTTGCCTCTGATGGTCTGCCAGCCTGCTGGGTAGGACCGGGGCAGGGGGACTCTTCCAACAGTCGAGATGCCATCTGGGGCCCGGAGGCAGCCTCCTGCAACCCTGCTCAGCTCTGCCTGCCCACACCTGTTCCCGTCCCGCCTCCCAGCTGAAGATGCACAGCAGAACACATCGTCTTGGACGTGTCTGTGGCTGCTGCTTTTCTAGGCCTGCCACTCCTGCCTCCTGAGCGGGGCTTGCTGACGTTAGTTGAACAAAGATCAAAAGCAGCCAGCTGGGACCCACTCTAGAGGGCCAGGCTGTGGTTGCTCTTGGGAAGGGACCTTCCAGGCCCAGTAACCCTGGGGCCCAGGTGGCACTGCTCCAACAGCGGCCTGGACTTCTGAGGAGAAGGGACACCCTGGAGCTTGGAGCACTGAGTCCAGAGTGTGGCCGGATGCTCCTCTAATCCACTTAGGCCAAGGCCACAGGTATGACCCTAAAGTGTGTCTTCTGATAGTGAGCACCCATGGGTCTGTGTGCTGCTCCCCCATGATACTCCTGGCAAGCCCAGGCCTTAGGTTAGGGGAGCTTGGGGGCCTTAGGGAGATGCTTCTAGCACTGGACAGCAAACCTGGGGAGATGGGCATTGGGGTGGCGGGGGTGGGAAGAGTGGGCCATATCTCCTCCCTGGGTCCTTGGGGTGGCAAGAAGTCCTGCTCCCTGTGATGGGAAGACCCTTCCTGGCTGGAAGTCTTGGGAGCAAGGTGGGCTATGTCCCTGGGGGTGGGAAACACCACCTGAGCTGCTGAGCACGGAGGCACAGCCACGGCCACTCTCGGGCCCTGCATGTCCTCTGTAGGTTCATAACCACCCTTGGGTACCGAGGCTGAGGTCAGCCAGCCCGCAGCAGTCAGGGGAGTCCTGGACTCTCGTTCCTGCCATCCCATCCATGCATGTGTCGCCAGCTTTTTCTTAGAGGTTCCCTCCTGCTTCACTGAGGAGACAGTCCCTGGGGAGTGGCCCAGAAGACAGGGGGTGGGGGAGCTGTGGTCCCCAGGGCCCTGATGGTGCCTGGAGCGCACAGAACCAGGGATGGGCGAGGAGTGCACAAACTTCCCCCAGCTGTTCCTGACTGCAAGGCCTGCCCTGCAACACCACCTGGTCTGCCAGCTGCCTGGCCCTCCCAGGGCTGGGACTGTCCTCAGCTCTGTTCCCAGGATGTGAACTGTCCTCCGGGCCTCACCCTGCAATCTGACCCCTCCCACAGCTGTTCTGGAGGCCCCTGGCATGCCCACTGCTCCTGTGCCCCTATCTATGGTAGCTCACCCTAGGTCCCTGCAAAGAAAGGCTGGGGGGCCAGGGGCTTGAAGGCTATGGGGTGCCTCACACACCCATTTAGTCCAAATGTGCATTTACTGACCAAGTAACCAAGAGCCCAGAGAGGGCAGTGGGCTTCCTGGAGGCCACATAGTGAATCCATGGCAGAGCTCACACCAGATCCTACTCTAGGCCTGCAAACCATTCACTGACCCTCAGAATCTTCTACCCAGAGGCCTCAACCCCTTGGCTCTAGAATTCCCTGACTCTGACCGTGGGAGATTCTGAGGAAAGCCTTGAGCTGGCTGCCTTCCCAGCTGCCCTCTGCAAGCTTGTCCTACCCTGGTTTGGGGAGATGGGGAGGG